CAATATAATTTAAAAAGTAATATTACTGATATATTTGCTATAAATCACATAACAGTATTTATTAAAAGAAATGAAATATTAATGTATATTCTCAGTAGTTTTAATTTGCTAAACCAGGTAGTTTTTCAAGTAATAATTGTCTCTTATGTGAACTGAGGAAAATTATAATTTCCAGCTTTATTTTTTCAATTGGTAATTTTTATTTTCACTAAATGTTAAGTAGCAATGTAATCATTTATATAATAATAGATTAGTACAAAATTGTATGTCAACACATTATTTATTACCTTAAACTGTCTGGAATTTATTATCAAAGGGTTGCGCTTGCGTAAAATTTACTATCGTGGAAATTCAGCTTTTTTGGCTAATCTCATCCCTGCAATAACAATATCCTTACTTTTTAGAGAATTTCGATTTCATCGAGATGTTTTAGTTTATTTAAACTGTAAATATGAAGGAAAATAAAACATTCATCAGCTCACGATCCTAATAATTAGTAAATAAATGCTTCTTATTATGAGTGTAAAATTTTTTTGATATAGTAGTGCAACATAGTATTGAAATGCATAATAATTGCTCCTGTTATGATAAAGACAAAATCTTTGTTACTCGTAGCATAGTACATGATCTGAATATAATTTAAGAACACTTCTTATTCTATCTCATAACTTTATCCTAGAGAGGCAAGGCGTCGATTCAGTCTCAAAGTTGGGGGGGNGGGGGGGGGGGTGTATGGATTAAATTCATAAAAATCGGATTGCATTATAAAATAAAAATAATGTTATAACGTATTTGTGTGGGAAATCATAAACATTGAAAAGTGATAATATTTTTAAAATATTAATATTTATTACTAGATTCGCTGTGCATGACTTTAATAAAAGACTGATTTTTTATTATTGTAAGTAAACAATTTTTTATAGATCTATCTACAAGCTAGAATGTATAAAAAACGAGTTAATAAGTAAAAATTTATCAATATAGGTTTCAAAACGCCATAACTCAGAAATAAAGCAGTCAAAATATTCATTAGACGATTCGTTACTCACCTTTGGTTCTCAACTGTATATGATGTTTTGAATGGTAAGGGGCAGTGTTTACATTGCATTGTTTGTCTACGGTAAGAACTCCCCCCACTACAAAGTCTGAAGCCGTCTACTGCTATGGAAGCAAGACTAGCGTATTTCAGGGAGGGTAGCTTCTCTTCACTCTTGAGCTAACACAATAGATCGAAGCAAAAGATTCCTTTTCTCTGGCAGACCCGAGCCAAAATCTGTCCTGAACAATGACCCCACACCCTTACTTGAAATAGTTATACCTCGTTACCAGTCACCGGCACGGGCCCAATCCAATGGCTAGGGGATTTCTTATTTTAGACAAACTATAAGTTGTGCTTTGGTTTGAATTTTTAAACACCTAGTATTTAAAGAAAAATAATTTTTCGATGGCTAAAGAAAAAAAAAGTGTCGAGCGATGGAGAACATGTTCTTCGATTTCAAATGAGAAGAGGGAACTAATTTGTTGTCTGGCTCAAAGCATTTCGAAACCAATATCCATCGAAAAAAAGGTGATGCTGTCTGTTTGGTGGGATTTAAAAGGAATAGTTTTTTTTTGAGCTTTTACCGGATAACACAACAGTTGATTCGGAAGTCTACTGTCATCAGCTGGACAAACTGACTGATGCATTTCTACAGAAAAGGCTAGAACTAATCAACAGAAAAGGCGTAAGTGTTTCACCAAGATAATACGAGACCTCATACAAGTTTGGTCACTCGCCAAAAGCTTTTACAGTTTGAATGGGATATACTGCCACACCCACCATATTCTCCAGATTTGGCGCCTTCGGATTATTATTTGTTCCGGTCGCTGCAAAATTTTTTGGACTGTAAAACCTTTACTTCAAATGAAGAGGTCAAAAATCACCTGGTTCAGTTTTTTGCCAGCAAAGACCAAAAATTTTATGAGCATGGAATTATGCTACTGCCAGAAAGATGGCAAAAGGTGTGGGACCAGAATGGCCAATATATAATTTAATAAAATATTTATTCATTATACGAAAATTGTCTTTCATTCCNTTGATGATGAGTTAATTAACTCTTTTTCCAAAAAAAAAAAAAAAAATACGAAAATACTTTCCGACCAACCCAATAAGTTTCAAAACCGTCAGAGCGATTTAACGCAATTAAATAAAAGATATAACTAGGTAAAATTTTAATAAACTGTTTTAAACTAACTGTGCGAACTTTTATTGACTTTTTAGCATTGGTGAAGCATTATTGAGACATGAGCTAACTTAAAGACTTTCTCATGTTAATTTGTTTCACTGAAATATTTTTTCAGGAATGCAATTATATGTTAACGATTAAAAATTACACATTTATAAATATTCTAAACCTTTATCCGGAAATCATTTAATAAAACAGAGTAAAGTAATCTAATGCAAGTAAAAGAATATCACCAATATGTGAATGTGAAATCAGGGCCAAAAAAGAATTTGTACAATGGCATTTGAAATGTGAGCTATCATAAATGATGTTTTTAATGTTACTTATAACATTTGTAAAGCTATGGTGGCTCAGCGAATAGAGACTTCACCTCTCAATGAGGTGCCCCAGTTTGGCTAAGTAAAGGTTTACAATAATTGACTTTTTATCGCTACTCTTGTCTGCTACGTCAAAATTTTGGCTCTATCGCATGTTCATTTTACGAAACCGGTGTTCGTGGAGACATAGTTGTTAAAATGAAAGACTACATAGTTGTTAAAATGAAGGAATTCCTCCCATTCCTTTTCAAAAACAGCTCACCCCTTTGTGAACTCCGTGAAGGAGGTCACGACTCCTAGCTAAGAGAGAACGATTAAAGGATAAGCATAAGCCATTGGTCACTTTCTTGTGACTATCGATACAAAACGTCACTTCCTAGGAGGAGGGTCCAAACCTTGGTTTCATAGGGAGCCGATTATAGTTCTTCGGCTATTACAGGAGGATCTTTTAAAGTTGGTTTTCGGTTTTTGTTCAGCACATGACAGCTTAATTTGACCATCAGTCCATCAATCAAAAAGTCTATTATTTTGATTTTTGGATGGTTTTCGTTTATTAAATGTCGGTCAAAAAACGTAAAATCGTGTTTATATTTTCGTGTCAAAGAATAGATATTTAAAAATACAATATTTAAACTGGCTATGTCAATGAATTATCAAACACTATAATTAGTTTATTTCAGCTGAAGATTTAAACCATATTTCTGTAAGCTTGTCGAATATTCACGTTAACCTGAATAATGAATAATATTTTAGTTATTTCTTCTAAATAAGAGTATGTGTTCATGTATAATAAAATAAATTTCCTTTAATTGTTTAAATACAAAAGAAAATAATTATTTTTGTATGCGTAAAGTATTTTTTACGTCGTGGCTGCTGATAAGATATATTTTACTCCGTTGCATTTTATATATTGCTGATTAAATATCTGTAGGTTGTGTTATTTATTATAATATTCTTGCATCGTAAAAATCTATTGTTTCATGTATCTAATTTCTTTTAAAAAGCTTTGTTGTCCTATTAATGATCGTTGGCAATAGCTTTTTGTGCAGTTTTAGTGCGACGTAAGTTAAGTATAATAACTGTCTAATTAGTGACAGTAATTTTTTATTTTACAAAAACAAGGCGGGACATTCACGTAGTGCCAACCACAATCGCCAAAGTGCCAAACTGATTTTAAATTAGCACATTTTTTTTATAAAAGATGTAGAGGTTTGTTCAGGGGTGTCTAAGAGTTATACCCATCATGTTAGCCCTCTTCTTTCATATTTTTTTTTTTTAGTTTCTTGCATTTCATTCCCTTGAAGCTGCCAAAACTTTGCCTTTATTCTGCTGATCACAATATGATAATCTTTCCATAAAACAAGGTGGGAAACAAATTTGGACATGCATAATTTTAATTAATTTCAATGAGCTTATACTGAAAGTGTTTTGTTTTTAATACTCAGATTTGAATTGTAAATTTAAGGATTCATATTTCTAGTGTACAAATGTAGAAATTAAAAAAACAGAAATTTGGAACAAACCTTAAGGACCAATTACCATTAGATTCATTCGCGTATAACATTGCTGATATTTTTTTTACTTGCATCTGATTACTCTGTTTTATTGGATGATTTCCCTGTCTTGATTTTGTAGTATTCCTAATGCTAAGCCTTTCTCTTGTTGCCAACAGAATGTAATGGTATGGCTGCAGCAAAGCGTACCATGTCGCACATTATGGCATACAGTTGTTGCAAATTGTTCTTTTTTTGAAAATCTACAGGTTCTGCCATATCCCTATCTTGATAGCTTCAATAATTTTCAAACTGTTTCCATTCCATTTTTGGAAATAAAAGAGCATTAAACACACTTACAAAATTGCAAACGTTTGATCATTTCCTAGCGTTTCTTGAATAACATATTCAGAAAGGCATAAGAAGTTAAAGGTTAAAAAAAAAAAATATAAATAAATGATTTTGAATAACAAACTANGCTATTACAGGAGGATCTTTTAAAGTTGGTTTTCGGTTTTTGTTCAGCACATGACAGCTTAATTTGACCATCAGTCCATCAATCAAAAAGTCTATTATTTTGATTTTTGGATGGTTTTCGTTTATTAAATGTCGGTCAAAAAACGTAAAATCGTGTTTATATTTTCGTGTCAAAGAATAGATATTTAAAAATACAATATTTAAACTGATGGCTATATCAATGAATTATCAAACACTGTAATTAGTTTATTTCAGCTGAAGATTTAAACCATATTTCTGTAAGCTTGTCGAAATATTCACGTTAACATGAATAATGAATAATATTTTAGTTATTTCGTCTAAATAAGAGTATGTGTTCATGTATAATAAAATAAATTTCCTTTAATTGTTTAAATACAAAAGAAAATAATTATTTTTGTATGCGTAAAATATTTTTTACGTCGTGGCTGCTGATAAGATATATTTTACTTCGTTGCATTTTATATATTGCTGATTAAATGTCTGTAGATTCTGTTATTCATTATAATATTCTTGCATCGTGAAAATCTATTGTTTCATGTGTCTAATTTCTTTTAAAAAGCTTTGTTGTCCTATTAATGATCGTTGGCAATAGCTTTTTGTGCAGTTTTAGTGCGACGTAATTATAAGTATTATAACTGTCTAATTAGTGACAGTAATTTTTTATTTTACAAAAACAAGGCGGAACATTAACGTAGTCATTGTCCTTCTGTCAGTCATGCCAACCACAATCGTCAAAGTGCCAGACTGATTTTAAATTAGCACATTTTTTTTAATAAAAGATGTAGAGGTTTGTTCAGGGGTGTCTAAGAGTTATACCCATCAGAGTTATGCCCTCTTCTTCTTCTTTTTTTTTTTAGTTTCTTGCATTTCATTCCCTTGAAGCTGCCAAAACTTGGCCTTTATTCTGCTGATCACAATATGGTAATCTTTCCATAAAACAAGGTGGGAAACAAATTTGGACATGCATAATTTTAATTAATTTCAATGTGCTTATACTGAAAGTGTTTTTTTTTTTAATATTCAGATTTGAATTGTAAATGTAAAGAATTTTGATTCATATTTCTAGTGTACAAATGTCGAAATTAAAAAAACAAATTTGGAACAAACCCTAAGGGCCAATTACGATAAGATTCATTCTCGTATAACATTGCTGATATTTTTTTACTTAGATCCGATTGCTCTGTTTTATTAAATGGTTTCCCTGTTTTGTTTTTGTAGTATTCATAGTGCTAAGCCTTTCTCTTGCTGCCAACACGATGTAATGGTTGGAGTGCAGCAAATCGTACCATTATGGAATACAGATGTTACAAATTATTCTTTTTTCAAAATCTACAGTTTCTGCTATATCCCTATATTGATAGCTTCAGTAATTTTTGAACTGTTTCCATTCCATTTTTAGAAATAAAAGAGCATTAAACACTTACAAAATTGCAAATGTTTAATCATTTTCTAGCATTTCTTGAATAACATATTCATAAAGGCATAAGAAGTTAAAGGTTAAAAAAAAAAAAAAAAAAAACAGGAAATGAATTTGTAAAGAAATGATTTCGAATAACAAACTGGCTCATTTGAACACTACTAAAAAATTTTTAAAAAATTCTTCATATTTAAGACAATTTTTTATTCAAAGCCATTTTAAACATGGCTGAAATTTAAGCTCTCCAGCAAAGTTTGTCTCCTAAAAATTGTGAAGTAGTAACTACATTTCAAGAGTAAATTGTGGTCACTAAATTTTTTTTAAAAAAAAGTAGCTGTAGTTTGTAAGAATAACTGTATTTGTAATAAAGTAGTGGTAGTTAACTACAAAAATAATCTAGTTTTTCCAACCACTGCCTGAACAAAACAAGAAGCAATAAATTTTTACTATTCATTAAAGAAGGGCTGAATAATCAAACTAAATTGAAGTCAGTGTTAAAAGTAATACGTTACTGAATAGTTTTACATACGTTTTTATTATTAACATTACTTTTCTATATAAATAAAATATTATATAATCTCTGTCATATTTTAAAATAAGCATGTGTGTGTGTGACCATTTAATTAGGTGATTAATCTATTTTTGTGTTATTACTAGATGATAATTACAGAAATACTATAATGAAAATCACCTGTGGTGTTGAAGTAGGAAATCGCAATGCATCTTCTGTGAAAAATAAAAAACATAGTGTTGCTACTTTAGCATTATGTCCTAAGACTAAGAAGAAAGAACTTCAAAGTGATGAGGATATTTACCTCATACTTTGCACTCATCAGAGTCCAAGGGGAACAAAATACAAAGTAATTTGAGATTTTTTTAAAAAAATGCAGATTACTTTGCTTATGAAATATTTTTTTGGTGTCCTAATTTCAAAAATTTTATATTGTTTTTAGATTTTCAACAATGTAGATAAATTGTTCACCAAGTTTATCAATGAAGGAAAAGCTACAATAAGATTTAAAGCGCCTCCTCATGATGTTATTATTAGTAAGGTAATACATTTTGTATTCTCATGTGTATGATAATTTTTAGAATTTTTTTTTTTAACAGTGTTGATAAATGGTTCACTTTATTTTTCAATGACAATGAAGGAATTATATAAAATTGAAAGCATTATGCACCTTGTAATGTAATTATTAGTTATAAAGCTTTTTTTTTCTAATTCTATGTAAGTATACTTGAGTATGAAAATTTTTCTAGATTATAATAATGTTCATAAATGGTTCACTTCATTTATCAGTGACGTTAAAGGTAGTATAAAATTGAAAGCATTGTGCACTTCGTAATTTAATTAGTTAGATAATACTTTTTTTCTTTCTAATTCTATATAAGTATACTTGAGTATGAAAATTTTTCTAGGTTTTAATAATGTTCATAAATGGTTCTTCATTTATCAATGGCATTAAAGGTACCATAAAATTGAAAGCATTAAGCTCCTCGTAATGTAATTAGTTCGATACTTTTTTTTCTAATTCTATATAATACTTACTTACTGTTCTGATATTTGTCGTCAATTTAATATGTGTTTCCGCTAGAATTAATTTGCCTTCAAGAACTGTCTGGTCTTCTGGATTTGCGTTTCTTTTGAAGTTTGTATTATCGTAGTGGTCTTATTGAGTCATTGATATGAACATTTGTAACATCTATCTGAGCATTTGAGTCATCGATATGAACTGATTCATAGTTAATTCCTCTTTATGAGCTATTTTATTTCTCCGCTTTGTCTTTTCATCTACTCGTTAAGTGAGTTCATTAAGACAGTAAAAAATTAAGTTATTTTAAAAGCTGTAGAAGGAAATAATTTTTTTTTGTGCTCAAAATTTTGCTACTACAGTTGAGAACCGATTATCCAGAATGATCGGGACCATCGCTATACCGAATAACTGATTTTTCCGGTTTTCTGAAACACTACAAAACACCGTTTTTTTTTAATTGTTTATCAAACTCAACTAAAAAAATTTTTTTACAAATAGTTTTAAAAAGAAAAAAAAAACGATAAAGTAATACACATAAGTTTAATAAAATAAAAAGGAAAAAAATAATAATGAAATAAAAATATATACTGGCTTAATATAAAATGAACAATAAAAGGTAAAATGGGGAATAAAAGGGATGGACTCCTTGGTTTTCATTTTCCTCCTCACTTTCTTCTACTTCGTCATCAAAACCATCCACTCCATTTTTTACTTCATTATTTTTCATTATTATAAAATGAAAATGGAAAAATCATGTGTTTTTCCTTTCTATGCATGAGAAAGACATAATTTGAATATAATTCTGGATGGAAAAAAAATTCTTTCAAAAATTTCTGGAGAAAAGAGAAACAAAAAAATATCAAATTTGTTTCGATTATCTGGTTTTCTGATTTCCGGATAAAAGTTTCTGTACTGTAGTTATTTTTTTTCAATTAACATTGAAAAACAATAAAAAATTCAATTAAAAATTTGGAAAATAGACATCATATATGGGGCTTTGTATTGTATAATGTATATTCATGTTTTAAAAAAACTAAGTTTCAAAATTTTTTCTGTAGGCTGATCCTCTTCAATTGAAAGCTTTTCTTCATGGTGTTGGCTTAACAATCGTAGGACAGGCCAGCAAAAAAATCCGCTTCTCTCAACCTCCAACGAAGGTGGACAGACCGAAACAAAAATTGGCCATCATGAAACGAAGTGATTACCCTATCAAAAATGGATTTCCAGATAGTCTCACTTGGCTGCAAGTGCAAGGTTGCCATTTGCGTAAAATTGGTCTACATGTTTTAAGACTAAAAAACCTTCAGGTTCTTGATTTAGCCAACAATTGTTTAAAAGAACTTCCTTTAGAACTTGGTGACATCCGATTGAAAGAACTTGTTTTGCATCACAATGATCTGAAATGTTTTCCTCCTGAACTAGCAACAACAGTGCTCGGGCAGACTCTTGAAGTTTTAGACCTCACTTTTAACAAGGTTTTATGAGAATTCCTTTTATTCAATATTTGCTCTACAAAATAGCATGCTAATTGGTTCAAAGAAGTCTGGACAAAAATTGTCTCTTCTTTTAATTATATATATATATATATTTTTTACTTTTCATTGTTTCATATTAGATATAATTATTAATTGTAGATATTATTATCTATAATATTTTATTTTCATTATTTTACTGTTATTTATTATTATTAGCACATATACATCTAGCAAGTTTTGTGGATTGTGTAGAAGTAAGGAAAGGAATTCCATTTCTTTTCTTTTCTAGTGTTTAATTAGATATAGGTAATTTCCCAGCAGAAAATGAGACTTTTTTTGTCCCATATCTCTATTCAGTTATTTTTATTAAATATATATATGTATTTTTTTTTTGTGAATAACTTTTAAAGCCTTCCAATAACATTTTATAACCATGAAATTTATTATATTCTAAATATTTTGACTTACAGCTTAAAGTAAAATGTCATTTTGAGTCACGATCATGGGTGCCACTCTTCAATCCAGGGGACTGAAATCAGTCTTGAGAAAAATCATTGGACTAAATTTCATTAATATCTCTTTCCCATTTGTTTACTTAGACTGATTTCCTTCTTAAAAATGTAACATATTTTCTGTTAAAAATGAAGTTTTTTTTTTTTTAGAAAACAATGTTATTTTTCTCAATTATTGCAAAATGATGAAGTAATCATGCCACACTGCAATGACAGAATGAGATTTGTACTACTGCTGAATCTAAATTTTTTAAAATTACTATCCTCCCCAATGCATTGGCATTTTGATCGAAAATAAATAAATATTTATTTATATTTTATTATAGTGTTATAACAAAAAATAATGGTTTAGCAAAAAATAAGTAGAGATATGAATGGTTTCAGGAAAAAGTTAGCAGTTTTACTATTCAGTTATAGGTGTAAAAAAACATGCATGATTAGCAGCTATTTTTGTTTTGTTTGCTAAAAATTAATTAAATAAAAAAAAAATGTTCAAAACAAAAACAAATGATTGAGGCCATTATCAGAGAAAGGTAAATTTTGGGGTGAGTGAGTTATAAATTTCTGAAAATTCCAGTAACAATGATGTACCATATTAATTTGTGTAGAAAAAGGTTCAGTCTTGAAATTATTTTAGAGTAGCACTCATGGTTACGATAGCTCAGTGGTATTGAACTGTCATTGCAAAGGACTAGGGTTTGATCCCAGTGACTAGAAGCCCATGTGACCATAACTGTAGCTAGAATGCTTTCCTTTCAAATCATGACCCATTTTATAAATAAAAATTAAAAAGAAATAATCCCACCAAGCTTCAGATCTATGAGTACCAGCTTGTCTGAGAAATAAAGGCAGCCTGCAGGTAATGCTGACAATCGTGTTCTTGGTTTTGAAGTTGTTTTGAATAACTGTTTTGTTTCTTTGAATGATTGTGATTATCATAATAAGAAATACTTTGACTACAAAATTTGATACTGTATGAAGTAGTACATCATGAATGTGAATTGCCAATGTTCTATATTTTTATATAAAACCTATTTGAAACAGTACTCTCATTTTTATGCCAATTCGAATATATTTTTGATGTTGTTGCTCCCTAATATTAAAGCACTTGAAACTAATTCTACATTTTTTTCTTTTTTAAACTCTACATTAAAAGGATATTAATTTTATAAGATATATTTTAGCATGACACAATCCTTGCCTTTTTTTCCAAAATAATAATAATAAATAATTATAAATACATAAATATTCTTTAAGATGTCTTGTTCCAAATTCTCTTACTTTTGCTCTTAGTTGCTGTAATAGACAGAATTTTAGTTTTATAAATGCATTTTTTTCCTTTTAAAATTCTTTGAATCTGTTTTTTAGAAAACTCAAAATGAAATCATCATTAAACACTTATAAATCTTTAAATTAAACAAATATTAGTTTTTTTAGAAATGCAAAAATAGTATTTTTAGATTTTATTCAAAAACTGAGAGTGTATTTGAATTCATGTATGTACAAGGTAAGATATGAGTAGATACCACAAAGGTATTACATCAAACATAATCAGTTTAGTTTCAATATCTTACTTTCAATTGTTTGGGATTAAAATCCTTCAGGCGATAAATTGAATAACATAGAACTTATTTACCTTATGCAGATAAATATAACAAGGTCCATGATCTCTATACACTCTAGTGATTTCTTAACTATTTTTAATTTTGCTACTTTAAAAATGCATAATTTTCTTGGTGTTTCTACTATGTACTTCAAAAATAGAACTTATTACTTAACTTTTTATGTTTTTATTAAATCTTTTTTTTTAATATAATTTTTGATAAATTACTCTTCTGCTAATTTAATTTTCACTTAATAGTTCGCTTTTATTCTTTTGACATGTCAGAGTTCCCGCGGGTCAGGGAGAACAGGGAATACCTGGAATTGTCAGGGAATTTTATTTCGACTCCAAAAATCAGGGAATGGTCAGGAAAAGTTGCAATTTTTCTACAAAAACCTGGAAAATTCCTTTATTATACCTAGAAAAAAAAACCAGTCTTAAAATTGTCAGTAACAGTACTCAGTTCTTGAGATTCAAGTTAAATAATTCTAACATCTATTACAATTATTTATTGTAAAAATTTTGCATTTTAGACAAACTGAAATGCTTCCTTCCTCATATAATATTTATTTTACTTAGAAAATCTAATACTTGGCATTAGAAATGAAAGTATCAAAATTTTCTGATGAAAAATGTTGTAGCATAGATAAAATATGGTATTGATTTTCTTTGAAATTTAACTGATATACCTGGGAAAGTGAGGTAATTTTTTTTTCTGAAATTGAGTAGGAACCCTGCATGTTCTTAAAGGTGATTTTGTAATACATTTTATTATGAAATTATATTTTAACGCACCACTCGTTGACCCAATGGGAAAAATTATACTGCAATTCCCTTGCTATGCTATACTTTCCCATTGATAAAAATTATCATTGTCAAATAATTTTTTTATAAATTCAGTTTATGATTTTGAAAACAGCAGTACATTAACTATTTGACAGTAAATATTAAATGTACATATTTTTAAGAACCATTGGGTTATTTCATTTTTTAGTTTGTGTACATAAATTGTCATTTATTACAAAATTCTTATATGAATAGTTATTAAATTTTTTTTTAGATTCGTTGTCTTTCACCCTACTTTTGTCTCATGAAAAAGATCAGCGTATTGTCCCTAAAAGGCAATGGTCTTCAAAATCTCCCTCGCAACATTCATTGCTTAGAGTCTTTGAGAATGTTCAGTGCATCTCACAATGAGCTGAAAGTGAGTTGAATCCACATTTCAGTTCAAATATTCATTTATTGTATACTTTCATTTATTTACTTACTGTGTTTATTGTATTATACATAAGGAATCGTAATAAAGTGGGATTTAATGTTACTGTCCGATACTAATTAAAAACATTCTAAAATGTTAGTCTTAACGTTTTGCTGCTGATATTTTTTTTATTCTTTCAAATCCCTGAGATTAAACTCCCATTGTTATATTGATAATATTCATAGAACCATTTCTTTCACTGATCAGTGTAATCATAATTCTTTAGTTTTGATTCTTCTGGAATAACCCGTGCGTAAGGATTTATTACTAACACCATCTGTTCTCAAATCTAATTTGTTGTAGTATAGTGTGTGCCTTTGTATACGAATCATCATTATCCCCTTAACAGTGACATATATTTTAGAAAAATGCACCAAAAATGGATAAAAGTTTTGACTTTTTAATTGTGTTTTTAATATTATTATAAAAATTAGAAATTTTTTTTTATTACAAAAATAAAATTTTAAATGCAATAACTACTGTATTTATTATTTTTACATACACATAAAAAAGTAATGGATTACACACACATCTTAGTATCACACTCTTTTCCCTTGCCTAAAGTCNAATGAAACAAAATTTTGAAGCTAAATGTAATATAACTAGTACAATATAATATAAAAACAACAATATGATTTTCAATACATAAATTTTACAAATCTTTTACAGTATGGTATATCCCAAACAAGCCCATATCACGCTCTTTTCCCTTGATTGAAGTCGTAATCGGTGAAAAACTAGGACCACTAATGCCATCTATTAGGAAAATAGTGAATTAAGTGTCCTGAAGTAGAAACAACTCAGCTCGGGTTTCACAAAATATAAACATTAATTTTTAATTCAGGGATCACAAATACTGCACATAGTAGTTGCCCAAACTGGGATGGGGTTAAGGGGGAATCACAGACAATTAGTGCAACATTAAGAAGCAAACCATTCAATTTTATCCATTTTTCATTTTAGAAAATGCTTACTGGTTTACTAAAACAAATGCCATACATTATTTTTTGTGATAATTGTTGGCCCCTTGGCGAATTTTCTGCCAATCCTTTTGCACACTTATTAGTTAGTGGTTGGATTCTATCATAAATCATTCAAATATGAATTTTGATTACCACTAATTTGGTAATTGGTAAAATTATACTTTAATGTATTTCAATATCAGAACCATATAATTTTGATATATATTTTGTCCACTCAGGATGAAGTTTATTTCACAAATTTTGCTGTAAATAAACTATTGTTATTTATTCATAACTTATCGTTTTTCTTCCTAATTAACATTTGATACGCATTTAGTTTTCATCCAACATTGGCACCTTACATTTTGGTTGTAAAGAGCTGGAGTTTGCTCGAGTGACCTTTAAGTGAATAATTAAGATAAAACTGTATTGAACTTAGACTTTGAAAAATATTCACCTTTTGTTTTGATTGGGACTTTTGATTCATATTGATAAAATGGCATGACTCCAAACATTGGATAGAAGACAAAATTTAAAAAAAAATCACCCATTGATAATGATATTAAAGATATCAAAGAGGCTATAGAAAGTGTTATTACAGAAAAATTTGAATCCTTTTCTTGAATAAGAAAAACTTTGGAAGGACTAAAATTAGATTAATCTAGTGAAGCTGTTGACGCTTGAATAGTTGATTTTTACGCATCTTTGGATTTAATCAATGAAGGCGTAGAAAAGTTAGAGGTATGTCTTAAAAATCTAGTTTGATTTACATAAACCTGCTCAAATAGCTGATGCTAGTTCAACTTTGTTACATTAATGTCATATTGTTCATGGATAAAACTAGAGCTGATTCAGATAAAGATCTCGGCTTTCTAATTGATAATTTATTGAAAAATACTAAATCCCTGTAATTTTTAAAGTTGGAAACTAATGAACTAATTAAAGCTTTATTGATTAATGTGGTTGCAAATAAATTGGATCAAAATTCCTGAAAAGCTTTTGAAATGTCTAAAGATTTTCCTATAGAAGACAAGACTGGGAAATTTGTCTGTTTGCCACTAAAGAGAAAATTATCAGTAGTAATTTTACTTTCTACTAGATTTTGAGAAATATTTGTTTTTCTTAGTATAAAAAAATGTTATTAATATTATAAGATGCACTTGAGATGCAGTTTGTGATTTTGTTGCTTATGTTACTGTTAATAAACTGTTGTTTTTTGTTCATAACTTATCGTTGTTTGTCATAATTAGTATATGAAAGTTTATAAAAGTTTCAACCTATGTATATAAATTTGAAAAATAAATTGTAGAAATTCCAAAAATGTGTTCCTAAAGTCTAGGAAAGTTTAAAAAAACTAGTAAGTAACTAACATAATTTCATTGATGGCTGATTTTTCAGGTACTCCCATTTGGAATTAGAAAACTACAACTGGACAGTTTAGATTTATTTCATAATCCCTTAGATACTGATGTTGTTTTGAGGCCTATGACTCCCTGGCAATTGCCTTCTTTACTAGAATGTGCTGCATCAGCTGTTGTCACTCAAAAGTAAGATTTTTTTTTTTACAGGAAAGTGATAAAATTTTAAAGTGGTATTTACAAAAACTCAGAATCCAGGGACTTAAAAAATTCAGAATTTTTAGAAGCCAACACACTATGGAATGAAAAGTNAACCCTGTAATTTTTAAAGTTGGAAACTAATGAACTAATTAAAGCCTTATTGATTAATGTGGTTGCAAATAAATTGGATCAAAATTCCCGAAAAGCTTTTGAAATGTGTCTCATGTCTAAAGATTTTCCTATAGAAGACAAGACTGGGAAATTTGTCTGTTTGCCACTAAAGAGAAAATTATCAGTAGTATTTTTACGTTCTACTGGATTTTGCTTCTAAATTTTTATAGAAAGAAATATTTATTTTTCTTAGTATAAAAGAATGTTATTAATATTATAAGATGCACTTGAGGTGCAGTTAGTGATTTTTTTGCTTATGTTACTGTAATAAACTGTTGTTTTTTGCTCATAACTTATAGTTGTTTGTCATAATTAGTATATGAAAGTTTATAAAAGTTTCAACCTATGTATATAAATTTGAAAAATAAATTGTAGAAATTCCAAAAATGTGTTCCTAAAGTCTAGGAAAGTTAAAAAAAACTAGTAAGTGACTAACATAGTTTCATTGATGGCTGATTTTTCAGGTACTCCCATTTGGAATTAGAAAACTACAACTGGACAGTTTAGATTTATTTCATAATCCTTTAGATACTGATGTTGTTTTGAGGCCTATGACTCCCTGGCAATTGCCTTCTTTACTAGAATGTGCTGCATCAGCTGTCGTCACTCAAAAGTAAGATTTTTTTTTTACAGGAAAGTGATAAAATCTTAAGGTGGTATTTACAAAAACTCAGAATACAGGGGCTTAAAAAATTCCAAATTTTTAGAAGCCAACACACTACGGAATAAAAAGTTTAAAAGTAAACTCTTTTGCTTCTTAGTTTATTTTTTTGGTGGTATCTTTTTATTTGGCAGCAGATAAAATTTAAACATGCAGGGGCTTACAAAATTTCAGAATTTTTAGGAGCCTGCATGACAAATTAGGTAAAAGGGAAATGAAAAGTTGCATAATAGCTTTTCTTAAAAACAATTATTTTTTTTAGTCTAATATTGTCTAAAAATAAATTAAACTAATAAAATATGAGTTATACAAGCAGGGACTACAGAGGTATATGGCAAAATTCGGAAATCTGTTGCATTTTTAACAGTGGCCATTTTTCAATTAATTATTCAGGGCTGCCAACTTCAAATTTCATGGGAATTTTCTTCTAGTGGTTGTTAAGTTTATGTTTTAATGTATGTTTCTTTGTCTTTTAAATTTGATTTAAAGTTTTTTTCCACACTACTGCATGTAAATGTTTCAAAAGTTCATATGAAACATCACTTTGCTCTAGCTCTCTAGTACTAGTAAGACTTTTAAAATGTTGACATTGACAAAATTACCAAAAATTCCTCAAGTTATAGTTTTTGACCACTTGTCATGTCCCTCACATACTACTAAAACAAGAGATGTAGGAGGATAAGATTTTTATTTGTAGGTTTAAATTTCCAAATAAACTACTACACTACTAAACTTAGTGGCACGACAGCCCATAGAGGGCCAAGGCCTACTGTGCCAGTGTAATGAGAAATACAAACTATCCGTATTTATTCTGTGATCTAATAATTTACGTAATGTTGTGCCAATAACTAAATGCTATCTATAAAGAATAGTAAGGAAAGATAAATATATGTTAATTACCTACTCGCAAAGTATATTACACAAAGATATATGCTAATTTCTTACCCATTACATACATTTCTTCTGCTCTGCTCTCTGATGTATCATTGTACAACTACTGAAACAGGTATAGTTTGCCTAAAGTAAGAACTCTCATAACAATTCGTCTGGACCCTTGGCGGTGACTATGGTAACGAGGTATAACTATTTTAAGCAGGGGTGTGGGGTCATTGTTTAGGACAGGTTTCGGCTCGGGTTGGTGAGATAATGGGAATCTTTTTGTTCGGTCTATTATAATAGCCCTAAAGTGGATTTGGTGGGGGGAGGGGGATTCTTGCTCTCTCATGTACAAATCTGCTGTGTTTTGCAAGTTTCTCAAATTTAGACTTCATTTTCTGCCCTCTGAAATCAAACAGAAAAATCTTTAGAGTTTTCGATCCCAGGGACAGTTAAAGATTGCCAAGTTTTTCCCTAATAACAAAAGAAAATTTTAGTCCTTAAACTTGACTTGGGGATCCTTCACTAATTACTTATTTTCATGTGTGTCCCCAGAGCAGTAAATAATCACAAAGCTTCATCTCTTCAAAATTTTCTTCTTACATTTAATAAGAATAATTATCCATTTAATAAAGATAAGAAATAATTGAGATTTTTAATCCTAAGAATTTTCACAAGAGGGACTATCCACCAATTGCATAAGATTTTTGTAAACGTTATTGTACTTCGTAACTATTTTAAATGCAGCAAAAAATTTTATGTTATTCATATTTGTTATTCCAAAAATCTTTAACTCCATTAAAAGGAAAAATTTAACTATCTTAGATTTGTTAAATATTATAGTCATAGGTGCCATATAATAATTTAAAGCAAAAAGTTTAACTTCTATTCTCATTGTATTTACATTTCAAGATCATTTACATTTTTTTTAATCATTTCATTAAAAAAGTACTGAACCAACTAGCAAATTTTAATAAAAATTTGTATTTTTATATACATTTGTAAATTACTTTGTAAATTATTAAAGTTTTCTTGGCTTGCTTAATTTTTTACATGCCTTTGATATTAATCTTGTAAATGTTTTGTTGAATTAGGCTTTTATTAATAACTTTTATTTAAATCTAAAAAATACCCTTTATAATAATAGTTTAATTAATTATAATTTTGAATTAAATTTTTTTGCATAGTTAAGTAAAGTAATTATTAATTAAAAAAATATAATGAGCCACTCAATATTGCATAGATTCAAAATTGTGCATTAATTGTTTCTATGGTGGTTGATATAATCAAGAAAAGAGATCTTTGTCAGAAACTAATTTTTTATTACGATCATGTAAAGTTTTTGAAAATTATTTTGAATTTTGTTAATATATATATGAAGAACTTTAATCAAAGGGAAGAAAATTCTTTTATTGTATCCTAATTATATTTTTTTAAAGTGCTTCAAAATATTTGAATGCTTAAAAAGTGTTTAAGGTGCATTTGTTTCGTTGAAAAATTTGGCTATGCACTCTGTATATAGTAGTATATACATCTTAAAATTGCGCTAATGTGAATTTTTTAAATGCTAACTTGTTTATATTTTGTTATTGTAATACTGATTACTGATAGATAGTTTGGAAAATAGGCACATCTGCCCACTTTTCTTATTTTTTAATGGGCTTTTGATTGAAATTTTCCACAGTGCATTTATTTAAAAAATGGTCTGCTAAGCAGGTTTATTGTTATCATTTTTCTCCTTTTCTCTTTGGGGATACGCACCCCATAAATGCTATCTTGGTTAGATTTATGCTGGTTAAGTGTTTTTTTAAAAAAATTTTTAAATATTGTATTGTATTAGAATGTATCGTACATATACATAATCATTTGCATTTATTTATTTTTTAATTTTAAAATTAAATTAAATTATTATCGTGTGAGGCAGCTTTAAAAACTACTCAAACTCAAAAAAATAATAACACAAATTGATTAAGTCCGGAAACCTTAAAAGAACCGAAATCTTAGGAGAAAATAATTTTCTTAAACAAAATCGACTACAAAAAAAAAGAAAAGCGTCTGCTCTCTGTAAAAAACGGTTCACAATGATCAAGTCATTTTCGGACCATTTTTCAGCTGATTCCACTCTATTTTTTTCAAATTCTGAAAAAAGTATGCATAAAACGCAAATTTTAAAATTTAGTCAGCAAAATTAATCTTAATAAATCAAGCAACAAAGAAAAAAAATTTTTTTTTTGTTGCTTGATTTATTACGAATCGATACATTCACATCTTTTACTGATCATTTGTTCGTTGGTTAATTATCGTTTTCTATCTATTTCCCCCCTCCTAATTCTGAGATTTTTATTCTTTTAATACGATACACGAATTTAATCTGACAAATTACTTTTTGACTTGCTCTGTTCACAGCAATTCTTTTTAATTTTTGAGGGGCATTTCTATTGTTTTTCAAATATTGATGTTTAAAATACAATGTTATTATGACACACGTAGAATACCGAGGTATCACTTTTAAACACTCAATTTGAAAAATTATTTTAAGTAAAAAAAAAATAATAAAAAAAGCGCTATAATTTTGGTTAAAATTTCAATCTATAAAAAAACTACGCTGGTAAACTATTAAGAATTTTTTGCATCTTTGAAGCTAACTATCACCCCTGGTTTTAAAGTATTCTAACTTTATCTGTGTGTTTTAAATGTACAGCTAGAGCCATGGTGGCTCAGGGGATAGAGCACTCGCCATCCAATTAAGTGAACCAGATTCGAATCCCTGTGATAGATGGTCGATGCGAATTCCACATCCGCCTTGCACTGACCACAGTACTGACGTAAAATATCCTCAGTGGAAGACAGATTATGGGTTAGAGCCCCCCTGCCGTCTGGCTAACCCGGGGTTTTCGTGGTTTTCCCCACCATGTAATGCAAATGCGGGTAAATTTAATCAAAAAGTCCTCCACGNAGTCACAGTAGCAGTGATTTTTGTCACAGTGACAGTAACAGTGACTTGTCACAGTGACTGCTCCAGTCACTGTGACAACTTTTTGGTTGGAACAGGCTGTCACAGTGACTGCTCCAGTCACTGTTACGTTACTTTCGACTCATCTCTATTTCCTACACAGCTGAAGATCTACCTAAGAGTCTTATTGATTACATAACTGAGCAGTGTCCCTGTCCCTGTGGAAAGAAAGTATTTCGAAATGTATACTCGTCCTGTATACTCGTACTGGATCTGTACAAATTAGCTTCAACAGTAGTTTATATTAACAACACAAGTCGTTTTAAAGTTCCCCTCGAAGTCTATTTTTGCTCAACAAAATGTTGGAAGAAGTAAGTGCATTCATTATATCGTATCTCTTAAGGAAATATAACTCAAAATCAAAAATAGTAACTTCTCTCACAATTTCTTATCTACTGTCTCTCCTGATTAAAATTACGAGTTTAAAGTTAGTGTCACATAAATTTGATCTCTCTTGCATGAATAATAATAAGTATATTTTATGCTAATGAATGTTATACAGCTGTGAGATTTTTAATGATGAAACTTATAATAATTGCTCGTAACACGCTGAAGCAGCATGCCATTTTTAAAGCGGTACTTTTTTGCACGTTTATCAATACCCTAGCAACAAAATAACTTGGGCCTTCATTGGACCGATATTCACAAATCTTGGTTCATTACAGATTCAAAGGCCCATTATTTCTCTGATATTGGCCTGATATAGAAATGTCCCTTTCATCCAATATCAGCCTTATACAGAATTGTCAGATTCACCCAATATTTTATATTTATTATTCAGCCAATATATGCCTTATATTGGCTTTATATAGGTCGTTATTGATCCTATATAGGATTATTATATTAAAAAACTAGACATCCCGATATTGGTCCCTGGGTGCATGGTCATATAGGACCTATATTGTGCCAATTGTATGCCCAACTGGGGCCAAGGTGAAATTGTTGCTATGGTAATATTCATCGATACTAATCTATAAGTTTTAATAAATGTTTTTTTTCTCAGTTAAATGATTTCTGAAATATTTTTTGCAATGTACAGTCGGACTTCTATTTAACGAACTTCCATTTTGCAAATTTCTCTTTTTTGCTATTTTTTTTTTTTGAGGAACCAAAAGCATTTTGGAAATTTCTTTGTAAAATAACTTCAAAATAGCGAAGTCAATTTTCTATTTTACAAACTTTTAAGATCCACTTTCCCTATTACCCAAAATATTTCAGAATATTTCAAACTTGTTAACTCATTTTATGGAGGAAATGATCTAGAATTGATTTTCACAGCCCTTTAGAGAAAGCAGTAAATTCCCTTTTTGTTTGCATTTCATACAGGAATCCATGCCGAAAGTCAATTTACGAGAAAGCATAACAGAAATTTCTAAAGCATGGCACTGTTATGTTACAAATCGTACTATTCGTAACAGTTTTGCTAAAGCTGGATTTTTAGTCATCCCGGAGAATTTGAAAAGTGCGGAGGACGAGGATTCCATTCCTTTAGAAGAACTTAAAAGGTTAAAAAAATAAGGGCACAGCTAAGAGTGAACCATGAAATTAATGATGATGTAGGATTAATGATATTCTTCTTATTGATTCTGTGAAGCTGCAACCACAAAAACATTAACTGAATCAGATATTTTATACAATGTGAAAAATAAACACAATACAGCAATAAATTGTGAGGAAGACGGAAATGTTGAAGAAATCACCAAAGTTTCGTATGATAAAATGTTAAAATCATTTTAAACAATTCGATAGTAGATAATAATTTACAAGATAAAGGTGTATCAATTGCTATTTTAATTATGTCTAGTGTTTATGAATTTAAAACCTGTTAAGTGTTGTTTAAGTATTTCAACTGATGATTTTCTATTTAACGAATTTTCCAGNCAATTCTTTAGTAGATAATAATTTACAAGATAAAGGTGTATCAATTGCTATTTTAATTATGTCTAGTGTTTATGAATTTAAAACCTGTTTAGTGTAGTTTAAGTATTTCAATTGATGATTTTCTATTTAACGAATTTTCCAGATAGCGAACTTTTTATCAGGATTTAACAACTTCGTTAAATAGAAGTCCGACTGTATTTGTATTTACTTAAAATTGTTATATAACAAGTCTAGTTATTGTTAATTTCAAAATATTTATTGTGATTTATTTTTAGTTGCTTTAAAACATTGTTTCAGATTTAGCCTTAAATCTAAGTATTCATCAGTTTCACTGAAATTTCTTCGTTTGAGTTTAAAGTATTTAGTTGAATTTAAACTTTGCAAGAAATTATTGTTCATGGAGAATTTTTAAATAAAAATTTAATTGAACTAGTCTAATTAAGAACATTTTAAATAAAATATAATTTGGTCATTTGTATTATAGCATTTTTATTTTAAATTTTTTTTCATCAATTATTTTATAGGAGACAAGTTAAATATTTTTAAATAAATATTTTTTATTTTACTTATTAAAATAATATTATTACATATTAAAATAATATTAGCTTCCTGTTTTACTTGACATGTTTTCACTGCATGAGATTTTTTTAAAGTTTCTAATTTATTATTATTTTTTTTTTAAATTCAAATATTCAAATTCTTAACTTTCGTTTTATAAAGCTAATACATTTCTTTATACTCTTGAAATTTGCATTGTTGTTGCTGTCTAACCTTAGGAATCCTAAAAGGACAGTAAAAATAATCCTAAATAAATCAAAAATAATCCTTAGTTAGGATTATTTTTCATTCAGGATTATTATCAGGAATGATGCATTTCCTCCAAAGTGAAGACCATTCCAGAAGAAATAAATTTCTTCTAATTCAGATGGAAGAAACTTTTTTAAAAAGAAACATCAAATATAACAGTTTATAATTGCAGTCTTGTTTAGATACTATTTAATTAAATGNATAATCCTAAATAAATCAAAAATAATCCTTAGTTAGGATTATTTTTCATTCAGGATTATTATCAGGAATGATGCATTTCCTCCAAAGTGAAGACCATTCCAGAAGAAATTAATTTCTTCTAATTCAGATGGAAGAAACTCTTCTTTAAAAAGAAACATCAAATATATATATAATAAAATATAGTCAAGCTTAATTTATATTTATATAAAGAGCTGTTAAAATACCATACTTAACATATACACTTTTGCTACTACGAATAACATACGAATTTTTATAATCAAATTATCTTCAGTATGAATACTCTAACAGACTCTTACATAATATAGTATGTAGATTTTTGTATAAAACTCTAAAAAATAAAGTGAAATTAGTATAAATAAAATTAGTATATATTAGTATATATATTATGAAATTGGTATAAATTATAAACGATAAAAGGTTGAAAACTTTCTGGTACTATATTAAATTTAATTAATTTAAATTGCTTCTATAAAACTTATTGCTAAACAATTATATTAGTTGTTTTTAGTTTCTTCCTGCGTGGTTGAAGAAACAGGTTTCTTCCACACAAAATGACAACTTTATTTTTATAGATTTTTTTTAACCTCCGTCTTGTTTTAAATAGCATTTTGCAAGCTGTAATGCCCAGCCACTTAAATTATGATTTTTGTTTTGTTTATTTTTTTATCATATTATAAATGTTGAATAAAATTGCAGGTATGAAGGACAAGAACTCATCTGATTGCTGATACTCATAAGAGAAAACGAAAATATTTAATTTATCGGTATTCTTTGTTTTTTTTAAATTTTTTGTAGCTGTATTAAATGTGTATTTTTTATAAATAAAATTACAAAAATAACATATGTTTCGGAAATATTTTTTAAAAATATTTTGGAAAGATATTTATAAGCAGTTTTCAAAATAAGGAATGCTGCCACAACTAAAATAGTGTCTTGATAAATTGTAGTGAATTAATTTTAAAATAGCAATCTTTTTATGCCGTATTTCTTTTTGTTCTTCAAAATGGAATTTTTTTGAATGCCTAACTGTACAAAAAATTTTGCAATTTATTTATAATTTTATAATGTATTGAATATATTGAATTATATTCTACCAAAGCTTTTAAAAATTGCAAGATTTGTACAATTGCCAAGTTTAAGCTCTTTTCCCATTTAAACATCAATAATTTATTATGCATATGTTAACTAAAAAAATATGTTGCATACATAACCAGCTGTCTTTAACAGAACAGGCAATGCTTCAAACTGGTTTAAATTATTGTTTGATGACAAAAATAAAATAAATGTATTTACACGCAGTCATGTTTGAAATTTAATTTTCTTTAAACAAAATAATGTAAATAAAATTAATTTTATGATTGGTTTCTAAATTTCTTGATTAAAAACTTCATTCAGCTCAAAAAACAGTCGACATGTTTCAAGTGCTCAAAAACAGATGTCCATTTTCAAGACTTGCCAAATGTAAATGAGAAGAAACAAAAATGATTTGAAATGTAAATTGTAAAGTGGGAATGCATTTTACCCTCATTTGCTTCTCTCTGCTAATGTGGTTTTTATAGTTTTGTTTCTCACCTTTAATTTTCCATTTTTCTTTGGCATTTTTTACTTTTTATATTTTAATTCACTTTTGTGTCTTCTCATTCATGACATGTCTTGAAAATGGGTGTCTATTTGTGAACTCTTGAAGCATGTCAACTGTTTTTGTTTCCTCCTATTTATATATTTTTCAAGCTAAGGAAGTTTTTAATTGGGTAATATGTTATTGCTTCAGTTTCTTTGGATTATTTATTTAATGTTACAAAATTATTGTTAGATACTTATCAGGAGCTTGATCAATTATCATAGAACCAAAAATTTGATCTTTGGCATTTTTATTAATTTAATTGCAACTGGTTCCAATTTCTATGAAGATTTTTTTATAAAGTAAAATTGAACTTTTATAAAATTGTTTTAAAAATGGAATGATCAAAAGCAATACAATAATTTTCCCAATCTCATAGAAGGGGAGAGGGTGTGCTAGTGTGGACAGCTGGCATAATTCTGTCATTTATGGGCCAACATTTCTCTAAAAATTTTGTCAGATTCTCAAAACCTGATCAAAACATGTTTTGTTAAATAGCAAATTTTAAAACAAGGTTTTTATGAAGAAAAAGCAAATTATGAATTTGTTTTTTAATAGCCACTTTATATTATTTTTATTCGTTGTTTTTCAATAATAGGAGATGGTCATTCATGAATATGCAGATTGCAAGTTTTATGTCACACTTTTTCAGAATATATTTCAACCCCCTTGTCACAAAGTGTCAAACTTCACTATACGTTCTACCCCCTTGTCATGTGTCACACTATTTCATACAGGGCTCTCAACTATAACACATTTTGCAAAATATTTTATAGAGTAGTATACAATTGGAAATTAAAGCTTTCTCAGTTTTTGGTAATTTTGCCAACATTTTAAAAGCCTGACCATGAGGGAATTGTAACAAAATGGTACTTATATATCATATAAACTTTTAAATCATTTGCATTTCGTAGTGTAGAAAGTAACTAAATCAAACTTACAAAGCAAAGAATGTTACATTAGAATGTAAAATCCAGTCTGTGTCTGCATTTTAATTAAGTAACTAACATTTTAAGTTAAAAATAAATGCAATAAAATAATCTTTTTTTTGAAATTTCACAACTCTGATTTCCTCCCAGAAAAAAATGTTGATTTGTCGTGAAGAACTGCATAATCATTTCACTGACATTATCATCAAAGGCTCGACAGCCCAGGGTGGGCCTTGGCTTTCTCACGAAGTTTTTTCCCCATGCTAACCTTTTTCCTGTTAGCGTTTTCCAGTTATTAGTTTTTAAGACCAAAAGGTCTTTTTCTAGGCCAGCTATCCATCTCAAATTTCGCCTGCCTCTATTTCGTCTGCCAACTGGTCTTGCATTGAAAACTCTTTTTGTGGTATGATCTTCATCTATTCTGATAATGTGACCTGCACATTTTATTCTTTGTTATTTAATGAAGTTAATAATGTCAGGTCCATTACGTGAGTGACAAAGCTCTAAATTTGTTCTTCTTAGTCACGCACCATTTCGCTGACTATTTTAGTGATAAATAAACAGTCTGGAGGTTTTAAAGTCTTCCTTCCTATCAGAATCTATTCCTTCCTATCTTTTGCCTACACTATCAAAAGTATAAATTTTATTCAATTTTTGATTGTTTGCTACAAGGGGTAATCACAAGATATAAATGATATTAATAATAAGAGAGCATTGAAATAGCCTTATCACACAGAGGAATATTCTGCCAAATTATCAAGAATAAAAAAATAACATGAGTGCTTCACGATTTATTTTGAGAAAAGTGACTTGGCTACTATTTTCTGTCTATTGCTAATACTATGAGTGCTAAAATAAAATGTCAAAAAAACTGATAAAACAAAATTTTTTTTTTTGAAATTTTTTTTTGCAATATGTTACTTACCCTACAAAGATGCCAAATATATAAAAATTTCAATTTCGAATTTTTTGTCCCTTAGGTTGATTTTTCAATTGCACGGCAGTATTCATCACTTGTGATGTCTTAACCAATCAGCGTTTGTTTTTTATTGCATCACTTATATAGACTTTCTTGGACAATTTAAATGTCTCATTAACTAAATAAACAGGTAAAAAGCAATTCTATTTTCTTTAGGAAAAAGTTTTCAGTAAGTTAGGACGGAAAATAAATTTTTTTATAGAGGTGCTGTAACTGTTCATTATGTACAAATGTGTATTTATTTTGTTGAAAAATAGCAAAATATTTAATTTGCTTGTTATAAGTATACTTCTCTACCAAAAAGGCACAACACTTATAGATAGCTCCACTTTTGATTTGCATTTTTTTTTAAAATTAATCTATCATATGTTAAAGTAGAGAAAGGTCTCAACATGGCAACTCATATTGAGCTTTTTTTGATAATAATGTGAGTTGATGATATAAACATTGTTAAGGATGTACGTTCAAGGTTGAATTAATTAATTTTGAATTTTACTTGCTTTTTAAGTCAAGGTTGGAATTTTGCCTGGAAGAAGCCTGTTTATTCCAGGTCTCCGGGGAAAAAAACTGGTCAAAATGAACTGAGGAAACTAAAGATGCACACTTCAATTGTTTAGTAATAAGTTTAGTACACAAATGTTTAAAGTTTAAAAGAAAATTAATATAGTATCAGATTGTTAAATGATTTTCACATCTAGTACTTTCTAAAATAACTATTTTTACATAAATTTAGGTTTATACAAAATTTTAAAATCAATTTATCAATTGTCAGTTAAAGCATGCATTCTTAACAGTTTTTAATGTAAGAATTAGTATACTATTAATGATTGTAAATTCTATTGCATTATTGAAATTTGGTTGTGATATTTTAACAGTTCTTTATAAAATTAGGTTTGCATGAGACATTAAAAGAAACTATAATTGGTTTAAATTCTTAAAAAATTCATTAAATTTATTAATTTTTTCTTCTTCTAATTGTTGCTCTCCTTAGTTAGAAATAATGTATCAAATAGTTGGAAATCTATTCAGTTATTTAAATTCAATCAGCAATTTTACATGTTTATTGTTTTAATATTTCCTTTTTGCAGATGCTTGTACCTTTTTTTCCCCTCATTGGGTTTGAAGATTTCTGTCTCTTAAATGACAATTTAATTATTTTTTTTCAAAATATAAAAATTTTTGTGTCTTAAGCAGAAAACAATTGAGTGTTGATCTAGTGACGAAATGTCCGTTTTCAAACTTTAAATAAAAACACACTATCAGCATGCAGAGTAAAAAAATTTTTTAACTCTAGAACTTTTATAGTGGCGATTAAAATATAAATATTTCTTTATTTATGAGATTTATTGACTGATGTAGTTTATTTCATGTTTGTATAAAAAGAAAAAAGAAAATATTTCTTTTATGTATTAAAAAAAAGAGACCCTATATGAAGAATTGGATTGTTGTTGTCCGCTATTAAGGCATCGGGGTTGCGATTATTCTTGTTTTCCAGTGGTGCCATCTATGGCCAATAATTAAAAATTTGATTGACAATATAAAAAAACACCAATATGCATCAATTCAATATAATTTTTTTCAAGGAAAATTGATTTTTTACCCTTATCAGACCACTGCATGACATTTTCACACATATGATGGCTAACATCATTTTTATCTCACTTATTTGCAATAAATTTAATTGTAATTAATTTTATTAGTATTATTTGATGGGAAGTAAAATATTTTTGGATCATTAAGGGTTATAACCGTGAACATCTAGTATGTGTTTTATATTACCTTCACTTTTTTTAATTTTCTTTTATTAGATTCTACAGCTTCACTGCTAATCAAAGGAACTAACGACGTCATCTGCATTTAAGAGCTGAAAATTTTCTATTTCAAGCTTTACAATATTCTCATAATTACTTTTGGAATGGAGTTACTTTCATCGGGAAGCTTCTCATATATAGTCACATTGTTAAAAATATTTAGTCATTTTTGTTGAGTTCTTTTTTTCCTCTTTTTGATTTATTTCTATTTAGGTNTAATAATAAATTAAATATAGGGAGGGGGAATTTAATCATAAAGTATAGCCTACAAGAAGCAAACTCATAAAAGTCAGCAAGCCCGGTAGTAATTAGCTAACATGTTAATTATAATCTTTTATTTTAAATTTATTTGAGTTTCTTAAAAATATATATTATATATATGTACACAGGATGCAACTCTGTTTTCAGTTTGTTATAAAACCTCATGTCTGTAATAACTGCGTTTGTAATTGATTCCTTTTATACCTGTAACCACAGATTGTGTATGTTAAAATTGTCTTAGATATAGTTCGTCTCAAGTAAGAACTCCCCTGGTCATTTCGGTGATTCGTTACAATAGCCTAGACCGGTGTCTTGGCTATTGTAACGAGGTATAATTTCTTCAAGTAGGGGTGTGGGGTCGGCAGAAAAAAAATATTTTTCTTCGGTCTATTGTGTTAGCACTAGAGGGCTATCCTCTCTAAAATGCACTATTCTTGTTTCCCTAGCAGCAGACGGCCTTAGACTTTGTGGTGTGGGGAGTTCTTACTGTAGACAAACTATACACGCAGTATAAGATGGTGATACAATAGGTGAAGTAACAGGGATTTATTCTCTCTGGATGTCCATTTTTCATACAAAAGGGGGCAAACAAGTTGTAAATATTCTAAACTACTTTTTACAAAGATATGTTTGCTCTTTACTAATTGATTTTTTTTAAATATTTTATATTCAATGCTAAATTAATTTAAAAAAAATTTTTTTTTTCTTTGAAGATAATTTTTTTTCTTCTTTATAACTCATAGTAGTTATCTATTTTCTTTGA